GCAAAAATGATTGAAGGCTCTGGAAGAGCGAATATCATATTACCACAAGGGACAATAATTACAATTAGAGATGCATTATTTTCATCAAAATCACCATGAAATTTATTAAGTTTTAAGGATATTCGGTCCAACAGATATTATGTTGAAACAACCAATGATTGTGATAAAGAGTATCTCAATATTACAAAAGTGATATCGAGTAAGAAAATTTTTTTGGAAAAATTATCTATATTGTCCTCTAGATGTACTATACAAATATTACAATGATTCATGCCATTGAAAATAAAAAAGGTATGGTAACACCGATAAAGTTTAGCATGACCGGTTGGGCCATCCCGGATCAATTATGATGTGCAAAATAATTGAAAGTTCAAGTGGACATTCCTTGAAAAACCAGAAGATTTTTTAAGCTAATGAATTGTCTTGTGTTTCATGTTCTCAAGGAAAATTAATCTCCTATCCATCATTGAATAAAGTTGGTTATGAAAGTCCTAGTTTTTTTAAAATGAATTTAAGGGGAAATATGTGGACCAATTCATCCACCATGTGGACCATTTAGATATTTTATGGTCTTAATTGACGCGTCAACTAGATGGTCACATGTGTGCTTGTTATCTAGCCGTAATCTCGCTTTCTCAAGATTACTAGCACAAATAATCTGCCTAAGGGCACATTTTCCCGATTACCCGATTAAGAAAATTTGACTTGACAACGCTGGAGAATTTACATCACAAGCTTTTAATGACTATTGCATGTCGATTGGGATAACTATTGAAGATCCTATTGCATATGTTCATACAAAAAATGGTTTAGCTGAGTCATTAATCAAATTCCTTCAATTAATTGCAAGACCATTACTAATGCATTATAAACTTCCTAATCAACATAAGGGCATGAAATTTTACAGGTAACATCACTTATATGCTTAATGCCAACTAGTTATCATGAGTTCTCCCCTATTCAACTGGTTTGCGATCAGGTACCAAATATTTACCATCCAAGGATGTTTGGATGTACAATTTATGTATGCATTTCTCGACCTCACTTCAAAAAAAATGAGTCCTCTAGAAGAGTGAGAATGTATGTTAGATATGAATCTCCATCTATAGTAAAATATTTAAAATCATCAATCGGAGATTTATTTATAGCTATATTTGATGATTATTATTTTGATGAATCATATTTTCCAACATTTGGGGGAGAAATAAAGAAGCTGGAAAATAAAATCTCTTGAAAGCAATTGTCACTTTCAGTTTTAGATCCTCATTCAAGTCAATGTGAACTTGAAATAAAAAAGATAATTTCTTTACAAAATGTAGCAAATCATTTGCCAGAAGCATTTACTGACCCTAAGTGGGTAACAAAGTCTCATGTACCAGCTATACTTACTCAAGTTAGAATTGATATCCCAGAAGGACGAAAAAAAAACTGCAAATGAATCTTAGGCACGATTGAAGCGTGGAAGATCATCCAGTTCCAAAGATAAAAATCCTCGAAAATGAAATGAAGCAAATACAATTGATGGTCCAAAAGAGAAAACACAATCTCTTGAAAAGATTAATGAAGCTCTAGAAGAGCCTAATGACATAACAAAAGAAAATAAGGTACCTGGAAAAAAATGAAAATGACGAGATCTCAATAAATTATGTCATGAGAAGAATAAGATGGAACTGAAATAAGATAGATGTCGATGATAATTTTTCATATCATGTTCCGCGCGCGATTATAAAGAAAATGAGGATCTTGAACCTAAATCTATTGAGTAATGTATGAATAGAAAATATTGGCCAAAATGGAAAGATGCAATCAACAAAGAGCTTAATTCTCTTACTCAACGAAAAGTTTTCGGACCTGTAGTCCGTACACCAAACGGAGTAAGACTAGTGGGACACAAATGGGTATTTGTGCGCAAAAGAAACGAGAAGAATGAAGTTGTGAGATATAAAGCAAGACTTGTGGCACAAGGTTTTACCCAAAGGCCCGGAATTGATTATGAAGAAACATACTCTCCTGTGATTGATGCAATTACATTCCGTTATCTAATAAGTCTGGCAACACATGAAAAATTGGAGATGCGTATGATGGATGTAGTTACCGCCTATTTATATGGTTCACTTGAGAATGATATTTATATGAAAATCCCAGAAGGGTTTAAGTTGCCAGAAGCACAAACTCCTAATTCACGTGAAGTATATTTGGTAAAATTAAATAAATCGTTGTATGGATTGAAACAATCTGCACGTATGTGGTTCAATTGTTTAAGTACATTTCTTTTAAAAGAGGGTTATAAAAATGATCCATTAAGCCCATGTGTATTTATAAAAAGATCCGGATCAGAATTTGTGATAATTGTTGTTTACGTAGATGATTTGAACATAATTAGAACTCCTGGAGAATTGGAAAATGCCACTTCTTGTTTGAAAGAAAATTTTGAAATGAAAGATCTTGGTAAAATGAAATTTTGTTTGGGTCTTCAAATTGAGCACACCAAAAATGGAGTTTTTGTACATCAATCTAGTTATCTAGAAAAAATGCTTAAAACGTTTTATTTTATATGGATAACTCACATCCATTGAGTACCCCGATGGTAATAAGACATTTAGATGCCAAAAAGGACCACTTTTGGCCTTGTGAAAAACATTAAAAACTTCTTGGTCCCGAAGTACCATATTTTAGTGCTATTGTTGCACTAATGTATCTTGCTAATAATACGAGACCTGATATATCTTTTGCTGTAAACTTATTAGCAAGATATAGTTATTGCCCAACAAGAAGACACTGGAATGGAGTCAAACACATTCTTCGATATCTTCGAGGTACAATGGATATGGGCTTATATTATTCAAATTCATCAAATGAGGAGTTAATTGGTTATGCAGATGCTGGATATTTTTATGATCCACACAAAGCTCGATCCCAAACAGGTTATTTATTCACTTGTGGAGGTACCACAATTTCTTGGCGTTCTGTTAAACAAACTTTAGTTGCTTCTTCTTCTAACCATGCAGAGATTATAACAATTCACGAGGCAAGTCGCGAATGTATTTGGTTAAGAAATTTAACTCATCACATTCGTGAGAGTTGTGGTCTAACTTCTAACAAGGACATTCCAACCATACTATATGAAGATAATGCGGCTTGTATAGCCCAATTCAAGGAAAGGTTTATCAAAGGAGACAGAACCAAACATATATCACAAAAGTTTTTTTTTACTCATGATCTTCAAAAGAGTGTGGCATCAACATCAAGGAAATTCAATCAAGTAACAACTTGGCATATTTGTTCACTAAAGCGCTCCCTACATCCAAATTTGAAAACATAGTACAAAATATTGGAATGCAACGCTTTAAGGAAATCAAGTGATGTGATGATCAGGGGGAGTTGGAAACACATTGTACTCTTTTCCTTAGCTATGTTTTTCCCACTGGGTTTTCTTAGCAAGGTTTTTAACAAGGCAATTGTTCCAAATATCTATTATTAATCATGTACTCTTTTTCCTTAACAAATGGTTTTTCCCATGAGGTTTTACTTATTAAGGTTTTAACGAGGCATGATACAATCGTCATTCAAGGGGGAGTGTTATGAAATATTAGTTTGTGAATGACCATTGGATTCTCCATTTCTCCCATAACTCTCCATCATTATTTAGCATTAGTAACAACCATTTCAATGTGTTTTATGAATGTAATAATACACCATCATAATGTGCATTCATATTATAGCTCATCTTTCTTCTTATTTGGATAGTATAAATAGTGAGTCATATATATTAGAAACTTGATGATTTCATCACAAGTATTGGAATAAAAGTTCTCTCCACTCTCATGTCTTTCTTCACTTTATAATTTATCTTGTTATTTGATCATATTTTATAACACGTTTTTTTTTTTTTTTTTTTTTTTTTTTTTTTTTTTACATAAACAATATTTTTTAATGGGCTATAATCATTACAATTAAATTTCACCGTAACTTATCCATAATGATACAACCTTTCCTTACACATTGAATGAAAAAAAAAAAATCTCATTAAATTTCTATAACGACGTGCTTTTTTCATGGCCAAAAATCATTTTTGTAATAATACAAATAGCTTGTGGTGATGTTTTAAGACGATGAAGGTTTCGGTTTGGCCCACGAACAATACTCTAGGTTAAATGAACATTCTAAATAGATTTCCTTGTACCTGTGTTGTCTTGTTATATGTTTATCGATTAACAAAATCATGCTACTTCCGTTTTTTTTTTTTTTTTGCAACTTTATCTTGTCTTATTATATGTTTATCGATTGTTGATGCTAACATATTACTTGCACCAATTCACATATTGTCATATAATTTCGACAATAAAGTATCCAATTAATACACATTGTCGAGTTGATACAACTTGCAACCAAGAAAACTAATAAATAATACCTAATTTAAGGGTCTCGTAAATGAACCCACATGTGTATGGATATAGTGTGTATGTGTTGACCTTCACACACACATGTCCCGTTATATGAAGGTATTTTTTAGTAACACCCATAATTTTTTGTAGATCTCTACTAAATCAAATTAATATATTCAAATAATCAATTATAAAGAAACATTAGAAAGTAAATGGTGTAGCTTCATTGAATTGTATATAGTCAATCATTGCGTTTACGTAAAGCAATATTGCCTCCTTCGAATTGTATTTAGCTAAATGGCTAAAAGAATATATATTATCGTGCTAGATACGGTTAAAATGTGTATACATAAATATGATATTAAGTTGAAGTCTAACATCTCTTATTAAAATATCAACAATTTATCAACGGGTTGATGGAAAAACCCAATGTCATTTATCCTTGAGTGTTAGATCCATTCAAAAAAAGGTAACATTTTTTTTTTTTTTTTGACTTTAGACAAACTAAAGTTTATCAATCTTTATTTTTGGTTAACTGGTTGACTTTAGCCAAAATAAATTTATTGAATACTGGCCCACTGAGAAGAAAAACCAACAACACAGCTTAATAAAAAAATGAAGGGACAGGTGGATATTTTATTTAATATTGGGTTTAAAGTTGGCCTGCAATGGGGTCCCTGTGTAGAACAATTTACCCCATCCATCTTACGAAAGCTATCGAATCTTAAGAAAATGGTGAGGGTTGTGCTATTGACTTTACTCTTCTTGATTACGTTAGATTCTTGCCATGGTAAATGCTCAAATGTAAGCTCCAGCTTCAACACAAATTTTAGAACCCTTTTGGATTTGCTTACCAAAAACGCACCTCTTCGTAACGGATTCTACGAAACAAGCGTCGGGAATAAGTCAGATCAAGTTTATGGCGTTGTTCAATGTAAAGCTAACATATCCTCGTCGAACTGTGCCAACTGTTTGAAATCGAATACTGAATCCTTTGACGGGTGCCCAGAAGGCAGAAGCATGGCTACTATATCCACTTTCTGCACTTTGAAGTTTTCCGATGAGAATTTCTTCGGAGTTTGGGATAACTTCTCATCAGCAACATTTGGCCACAACGGATTGGATAATCCAACGGTGTTTTCAAAAGGGTATCTGATGATGCAAGATTTAGCTAGCAAAGTTCCTGATCAACCATTGATGTATCAAGCAACCGATGTTAATGTTGGAGAGGATGGGAAACGATATGGTTTGGCTCAGTGCAGTAGAGATTTGAGCAAGTTGAATTGTCAAAACTGTTTGGAGGATCGATTGGTGAATTATAGATCTTATGTTGAGAATAGAACTGGGTGGGAGATTCTTGGGATCAGTTGTAGTATGTGGTATTCTAATGTTTCAGACACTTATTCTCCAGGAGTGACTGCTCTCACGCCATCTGAGACTGAGAGTCACGTTCCATCCGGTTTACCTACTGTTACTTCAGGTAAGTTGCTTCTTTTTTGTTTTTTGTTTCATAATACAACTATAGGAAAGATACACGATCATTGTGGTAGAGGTGCTTTAAATCCTTGGATGTTTCTTTAATGATCAGGAGGTTGTAAAAGCCATGGACGAAGTGGAATTTTGGGCAGCGTCAGCATCGGCACTAGCATTTTCACAGCTTTGTTAGCTATACAAGTTTTCGAGATGCTATCGTGAATCATGCAGTATCGGATGCTAGAGTTACTTATGCCATATGAACAAGTGCCATGTCAAATAATATCCACATCAACTAACCGGCTATAATAATGTTTCCTATGACGAATATTAGAAATTTTATTTCAGTTGTATAAAATAGAAAATTTACTTGATCTTGAAGTGTGAAATGATAACTGTAGTCAGAAAGAATCACTGCATAAATGATATATGATAACTGCTTGGAGCATATTCATCCATCATCAAATCACATTTTTAATACCACTTTGCTATAAACCTATTCCAACCCAACAACATTTTGTTATACTATTTTAGTGTAAAGAAATGTATAAGATCAAATTTGATGTTACTGTACTCTTTTACACAAAAATGGAGTTTAACCCAATTTAGTCACTCTCATATTTATTCATTTGTATATATATATATATATATATATATATATATATATATATATATATATATATATATATATATATATATATATATATATATATATATTATAAATGTAGCATTTTTCATTGAACTCATGCATTTTTAACTTTCATACATTTATCTTTTTACCACATTTATTTGAAAGTATCATTATTTTTCAATTTCTTTATAATAATAATTATAGATTGGTTAATAAGGTTAAATAACTATCAAACCTAAAGTGTAATCATATATAAACTAAATTTCAATATGAAAATAAAAACTTTACTTTTACTTATAAAGTTATTTTTTTAACTTTTAACATATTATACTAATTTATTAGTTTTAATATATTGTTTGATGTAAACCATTATCATTTTAAAAATACAAATTTGGAGCAATTTGTATAAAATACTTAAATTATTAATTTAAATACAAAATTACATTGTCAACTTGAATATAATTTTTAGTTTAACTTAAACAAACCAAAATATATTTTGTAAATAGTTAAAATTGATGAATTGTAGTGTTTTTCTAATAATGATTATAAGTTTATTAATAAGGTTAAATAAATATATCAAACATAAAGTGTAATCCTCACTAAACTAAATTTAAATTTTAAAATAATGTCTTTACTTCAACTTATAAAATTATGTCTTTAACTTTTAACATATTATAGTTAATTTATTAGATTTATAATATTGTTTTTTGGAAACCATTATCAGTTTAAACCTACCACTTTTGAACAGTTTGGACAAAATATTAAAAATTTTAATTTAAATATAATATTATAGTATCAACTTAAATATAAATTTCAGTTCCACTTAAAAACTAAAAAAATATTTTCTAAATAGTTAAAAGTGATAAATGCAAAAACTAATTTGTAATCTCAATTTAACTAAAATATTTCCTAAATATATTTTTTTAATCGTTAAAAGTTTTCAAATAAATAGCTTAAAATAACTTAGGATAACAATAATTAAAAATAACTCTTTAAAAATGATTATATTGTTACCTCTAAAATCAAAAAATAATGTTTTATGTTTTAAATAATTATAATGATAGAAATAAAAACATTAAAAAAATAAATTTTAAAAAATAGTTAACAATAACAACAACTTTAAATATCATTAAACCATATATTATATTCAATTTTAATCATGTGTAACTCACGGATAAAAGTCATTTAAACGATTGAGATTATACAGTTAAAATAGATGTATATATTATCATATAATTCAAAAATATATATTATATCAACTTTAACAAAAACGTTATTGTTATATTTAAAAAAACATATATTTGTAAATGCTTCAACTATATAGGTGTTTATGTGTAACGCGCGGGCATTCGGCTAGTTCTTAAATATAACAATTGTTAATTATTATATGAGGTTTTACATTAAATTGATATTAATAATTATAAACTTAAAACCTAATCTTACATTTCCACCTCTATCTTTCACATATTTACCCAAGTGGCCCTCACCTTTTAAGAGTTAATCAATTTTTAATATTAAATCTTAACAATCCAATTGAACCAATAAATGATTTAGATTTGTCATCGCAGTTTGTATCAATTTTTAAGTTCTTACGCGATCCCACTATATATATATATATATATATATATATATATATATATATATATATATATATATATATATATATATATATATATATATATATATATATATATATATATACAAGGTTGTAGAACTCGTTACTTGGTACCTGTTCGGCCGACTACCAAGTAGCGAGTACTCGGGAGTATTCGGGGAGTACTCGGATTTGGAAATTTGTGCAGAAATACTTTTGGGGAATTTATATATGTCAAAATCATAAGATAAAATCATAAGTTGATTGAAATATATAACAAAATTGGATAAATGTGAATAAAAAAAAAATGAAAAACACATAATGGTCTCACTTTGTGAATAATTATTGAAAATATAAGATATATATGTAGTAATAATCACATGTGTGTGTGATAAATAATAAATCATTAAGTATATTATACATATTAATCACCGAGTTGACCGAATTTCACAACACTACTCAGTTTGTAAGGGGTCGATCGGGGAGTACTCGGGATTATGTAACTCGCCTTGGCAAGGGGGGGAGTAGCGAGTACTCGGAGGAGTAATCGGCCAACTCAGCGAGTTTTACAACACTGTATATATATATATATATATATATATATATATATATATATATATATATATATATATATATATATATATATATATATATATATAAGTATTTACAAGTTTTGCTGAATTTTAAGAGGTACAAAGCATAATGCAATTTATATAATGAATTGATGCATCTAAATCTTATCCGGTCAAAGAAAAGAAAAAATCAGGCGGACCTTTGAATTGGTATTCCAAACTTTCAACCTAATGAATCGGTCAACACAACTGTCGTTTATATAAGATCTCCTCTCTCACCATTGTTAGGTTAAAACTCAAGCAAACACCAAAAAGCAATCACCACTATGACCGGATCATTTACTCTCCGTCATCCTCCTTCTCTCCCTGAAACGTAGAAAGCCTAACCGAAAACCAATTTACCACTGCCTCCCCAAATCACCGGTCACCACCATCAATACATCGCTTACCTGCATCGGAGGCCACCCTTCATCGTTGCTATTATGGATGTTTGACTATCTGCATCGGAGGCCACCCTATACAACTATTATTGTTTCATATTTCATCTTTGTTTTCCTAGTTTTTATTTGATTTTGACCAAATTGACC